TAACCACACTGCTCCAGGGCCTGTCGTGTGTGTGATTTCTCTTTCTCCCTGGCTCCCAGGAGCCAGGGAGCCTGGCTCCTACAAACCCAGGAGCCAGGGAGAAAGAGAAATCAGGATTTTTTTCTCACTCTATATTAAATTCATTATTTTCCTGACTCTATAAATCATTTCTGATCGCTCAGGGATCACTCAAGCGTGTCCTTCACACATGCAGGAAGTAATTTGCATCTGTTTAACATATGTTGATGAAGGCGTGTCAGGGGAGGAGTCTTACCTGCGCTCAGTTCCACCTTAATTGAGATGTACAAAAGAAATGTGTGTGGATTCAGGYGTACGCATGGTTTGATACATCTGGGGTTTTTTGTGCGTAYGCCGTTTTCTGGATTTGACCGTACGTCAGGTTTCAGGCAGAAATCCACRCAAGTCTTTGTACATGAGGCCCCAGGTCTTTTGTTCATGTCTTGATAAGAAGATTTTGGACCAAAGCACATATTTCTCTGGGACACAGGGCAGTATGATGGCTGAACATTCCCATTTTGTTTGCACTTGCATATAATTGTTTGTACTGATGAACGAGGTACCTTCAGGCATCTTGAAATTGAACCCAAGAGTGGGCCAGACTTGTGCAGGTCCACACTTCTCTTCCTGATATGTTGGGTGATTTCTTTTGACTTTCTCATGATGTTACACAAGGAAGCAGTGTGTTTCAGGTGTGATCTTGTCAAACTACAACACAAATATTAACGTTATGATGCACACAAAATTAGGTTTGGATCAGATAAGGTATGTGTGATTTAGAGCCAACCATATGTCAACAGCGTGATATGTAATTAGGCCACGCCACACCAAAATTGTACTGCATTTCTGTAATGGGGTGGATTGGAATCGACCGCCATGAATTAGGTGCAGATTGGCTGACATATATGGAATTTAGAGCCAAACTGTCATGAATCATGTCTGTTTCCTGCCCAAGTCCTGTCACCGTCTATTATCTCCTAATTGTTTC